TTGCATCAGCCATCTGGGATTATTCAGCACTTTTTTCTTTCTTTCTTTCTTTTTTTTTTTTTAAACGGTAGGGGTATGTTGCACAACTGACCTGAGCTATTTAGGAAGAACAAAGCTCTCACTTAAAAGGAACCTTAACCTATCAGGCAGTAGTACATTAATGTCGACACATTCAAACACACTCCCAAGTATTTAAAAGAACTAGTAGTGAGACACAAAAGCCTGTTTCAAAATACAAAGCCCTTCAGCCAGAAACAAAAAAAATCAAACAGGATACGTCATCTTTGGGTCTTCTCCAATTCTTTTTTTCAATACCATCTTTTCACTACCGTATACTTCAGGGTTTTCAACTGTTGTGTTTTGTTAGGTCTAGTTAGTTTGTCTAAAAATCTATTTTCTTTACCTGAAAATTGACATAGATCCGACACATATTTACAGAGACTACATATAACCCTTTTGCTACCTTATGTTGCCTAGCAACACATCCAAATCAGACTAGTGAAAAATGTAGGTTATTTCCATACAGTCATTCTCATGTTAGTGTTTCTGTGATGCTTACGAGGAAGTTACTGATGAGAATCCCCCTGCAGGAACTCTTGTTAACATTTACAACAAACTCTTTTCAGATCTGATGGAACATTAAAGGGAATGCAGTGACTCAGATAACAGAAATTTGCATGCGACCATGATGTTTTTCTGAGCGGATTAACTGATAAATTCAAAATTCTTTACTTTCATGTCCTTCTAACTCACATGAATTATTTTCTTTCAAACCACTACACCAAAAGTTAAAAACAAACACGCAAACAAAAACAGTTCATAAAACAACAAAAATAGTCCCTCAAGTCTTTATAATCTCACTGTACAGAGTACTATATGCCAAAGAGGGGAATCCTACATAACTTAAGTAGCGCAGCTGCTCATAGCTCCAGATTCAATCAGCGCAATGAGAAATTATTATTGCCTCACATACTCCCTTTACAGTTATTGCTTAATTAGCTCCAAGATGGAAAAATATATTAGCTGAACATTTTATCATTTCAAAAGTTGACACTATTCTTTGAGTGTATCCTAGTAATACACTCAGTGTAGAGCTGTACTCTTAACACTCTAGTTGTAAAACCCAAATCAATATTTTAAAAGACCTGTATTTTCAGGGGTTGTGACTTGTCTGTAATAATTTGTGTGGTGGTAAAACTAGCTATAAAAACCTTGGCTGGTATTAATATACAGAGGTACAAACACAAAAAACACCGTTTTTGCACTGTTACAATGTTTTAAAGAAAGTTTCACTTCTTCCTCTATACTCCTTGCATATCCATCATCAGATACTGTGATTTCTCCTCTAGTCATATACCTCCTCCCATGAGTGATGGGTGCCTCCTGAATCTGGGGGGCCACCCGCAAAAGCCACCTACCCTGTCAGGGGGGACACCAGCTCTACCGACAACATCAGTGTCGGCTGTCGGGGGGGCACCAGCCCTGTCAGGGGGGGCACGTGCAACCCCATGCACTCCCTACCAGTCGCCTATGCCTCCTCCTTAGTCTGTCTACCATGTGCCTGATCTGCGCCTAGGTGAAAGAGCAATGATTTTTTGACTGAAAAACATTGAATACCACTCAGGTACATGCCAGTGAGGTACCTGGTCAAATTATTAACCACTGGCCTGGGCTGATGTTCTTAAACTGAATTTAAAGGTGCAGAATCACAAGCACGCAGCAGGGCTTCCTTAATCAGTGTCTCAGGGATATATGTTATATATATACCCTTATATAGTCCTTAATCAATGCCTGACATTTATTTAAATGGGAAGGTAATTAAATGTGAAGGAGCTACAGATCAAAAGAAGTATTAAGCAAGCTTCCAGACACCTCCAAGGCAGCTCCCAGCAGTTCAGAGCTCTGCCTTGAATATTTGGTACAAACTTTCAAAGGAGTTAAAAACCTTCACATTTATTTGACCATAGGTCCTCTTTGCTTTTAGGAAGATAGTAACTCACATGAACTTCCGTGTGTGTATGTATGTATAATTATTTAACCAATAAGCTGTTCAATTAAAACATAAACTATGATTTTCTATATGTCTTTAGACCTTGGGATGATTTATCAGTAACAGCACTTACAGCTTTTACTTTAACTTATGATTTCCCTTATGTTGTATGAGTCCCTTGGGCACTCTTGGTGCATAGCATTAGTTGAAGTAGCCTATGGCCTTTCTAACTTAGTATCAGTGCTAGACCAAGAGCAGAAAAGAGGTAAAGTTATTTAAAGTCATGTTTTCATATGCCTTCTTGGCTGTAGCTGAGACTGTGAGTCTCTCCGAGTTCTCCTAATTCTGTGTAGAACCTACAATACTTTGAAGGGTCCTGCAATACAAATAAGTAACAATAGCTACTTTAATAGCAGCCTTCAACTACCTGAAGGGTGGTTACACAGAGGATGAAGCCCGACTGTTCTCAGTGGTGGCAGATGACAGAAGAAGGAGCAATGGTCTCAAGTTTTAGCAAGGGATGTTTAGGTTAGTTATAAGGAAAAACTTTTTCACGAGGAGGGTAATAAAACACTGGAACAGGTTACCCAGAGTGGTTGTGGAATCTCCTTCCTTGGAGGTTTTTAAGACCTGGCTAGACAAAGCTTTGACTGAGATAATGTAGCTGGGGATGGGTCCTGCTCTGAGCAGGATTTGGACTAGATGACCTCCTGAGGTCCTTTCCAACCCTCATTTTCTATAATTCTACTCAACGAAGTCAGAACAGTCACATTCAATTTTGAACAGCAGGGTTGTTCAGTAATAGAAACAAATCAGCCAAATTAAGGAAAGGCTTAGTTCTTGACATTGAACCTTTCTGTCGTCTTCTCTTGCTTCCTCACTAATCTCTGATTAACACCTGCTACTTAACATACAGTCAGTTATTACACCTGTAGCTTCACATTTTCTCACTGGTCTGCCTTGCTTGAGGCAAGACTAATTTGGAGGAAGTGGCCTGCAAAGAAAGCTCCGTTGGTCCTGAAGTCCCAATAGGCTATCCAAATCTCAGGTTTGGGCATGCATGGATAAGGGCAGCTGCACATCCATTTACTGATGGGTGGAGCCCTGAGTGCTTCTTTCAGCACGCTATCAGCAATGCTGAGCTGGCACAGGGAGGAGTAGTTTACAACTAGTACAGAACTGCTGTGAATTGCTACCCCCTGGAGCAAGAAGGGAATAGGGAGGGAATTACAGGTAAGGCACACTTCTTTTCTTGCAGTGCTTTCCTGTGCAGCCCTTAGCTACTGCTGTACCAAATCCTGTGGCTGTGAGACCATGGCAAAAGTTAGCCACTTGACATTTGGGCTCTTACGATAAAAAGTAATCATTTGTGTCATCAACATCCCAAATTCTGCACAGAAAGGAGTAAACAACCCTGGGGCACTTTTAAAGACCAGAACAAAATTAGTCTTTTTGGCAAATTAGTTGTGACTGCCATCTAAGTCTATTTCCAAGACAAGAAGGAAACAGTGACGGACACCTTAAGATCTCACAATCAATGTCATGCTTACCCAATCTATCCTGAGTCAGATGTGACCACAAGGAGTTACTTTCACTGGTAGTTTTAATTTAAATTGTTCCAAGTTAATGCAGGATTATGGCATTAGTAAAAAAAAACACAGCACAGTACACAGCCATATTCCCTAGGGAAGTCTTCAGGCCACCTGAAGCTTAACTTGTTCACTACTGAAAACATACTCTGTTAGACCTACAATTTTAATTTTTTAAGGCAATATCTCCTTCAGGATGCTGAAAATATTTTAGAGCAACAGGAAGCTCTCCCACAGAAAAGAAAATAAGATTTCACCTCTGCAAGCAATTGGAAAGATGCACAGCATTGTCATATTTTCTATGCTATATTTTCTATGCAGTGTCAGGTTCATTTCCTGACCAAAAGTTTTAATACATAAACTAGATAAACAATGTAAAATGGTTTCCTCCTTCTGAACCTTACTATCACCATGTCATGAAACATTTATCTTTTTTATGCCAAACAAAATTCTAAATCAAGAGTAAGCCTAATGAATTCTCTATAGGTTTTTGCCTAAAATTTGCAGATAACTGAATTAGCATCTGACCCTGCTAGACCAATGGTTCTCAACCCTTTTGGATACAAGGCACCCCTTATTAGACTTAAGACATCCCTTAGAAAATGCCAGCTCTTAGTTTTCAGTAGATTTTTTACTACAGGAAAATTAAACAGAACAATTCTTCAGTTGCAAAGAACTCAGAAAGACCAAAACAATCAGAATGTTTTTGAAACCATGAATTTCTATTTGAAATCTGTATGTTTATCTTGTGAATCATGCTTGCACACCTAGCCATGCTAATACTGGGTATATGCAGGCAATACCTTTAGATCAACCTAACCAGGGTTAGATCAACCTAAATGCCCATGGGTTCCCTGTAGGGCTCCCAGGAGCAGTGAATTGCTGTGTATACTGATCCTGGTCTAGTTTTAGGTGCCTTAAAGCAAGCTGCCTTGACCTAGACTGGGTACAATGAATGCTGATTTGTATCCATTGTGTGACACCCCATGGCACCTTTGAAAGTTTCTTAAGATATCATAAGGTGCCTTAGCACCCTGGGTGAGAATCATTGTGCTCCTTATGAGCTCCTCTTGATTTCAAGAA